ATATATATTATGTATATAAATAATTTTTTATATGATAATATTATATTTATTGTCTAATTGTTATACTGTTTTTTTTTTGGTTACTGTTGTTGTTTCATATAAATAATTTTGCATTTATTATTATGTGCTGTTTTATTTATTTTAGGGAATATTAAAATAAGAGTTATTGTTATATGTGGAATGAGAGAAAATTGTTGAAAATCATGCAATCGTGTAATGATTAAATCATTTTGTTTACCGGGAATACAGAAATTCATTATTCGTTATGCAACAAAGAGAAGCCACACATCGTTTCCGTTTATTCAGAATGTTTTACTTGATGCGTAATATATTGCTTTGTAAACGTTGGGTAGTATAATGCATAGGCGGTTTGAGCTTAAGCGAACAGGACGTCTAACAATTGTCAGATTTTGCAAGCGTTTGGAAAGATTTGGATTTATATGAGAGGAAGGAATATATCAAATATTATACAATGGTTCACGAAAGTGTTCGTATGCTAGGTATTAAAACTTTGAAAAAGAAAAAATATTTATGTTAGATTTATGTTTTTAAAGTAGTAATGTTGCAATTATTATATAAGATACAAATATTTAAATTGTATATACAACAATTGAAGTGAATCGGATAATATTAATAGAAGTTTTTAAATATTCGTTTTAATAGATTTACTAAAACATATTCGGATGATATTAATAATATGCACCTTTTTTTCATATTAATATATATTTTAACATATATAAGTCTCAAAGGGAATTATAGACGGTTAATAAATCTAATGAACAATTTATTTTGAACTAGTTGTACGTTTCGTACCTTACTGGGGACTTCATCAGCAACGTAATCATTTACAGTTCACGTGTCAATACATATTATCTTTTTTACAGAGTCATACATTTCAATAAAACTTAACATATTACAATACAATTTCATCCTAAAACACCTTATCTTATCACACGTAATCAAATATTGAGTAAATATTTTCTATACTTTCTGCAAATGGATTTTATTGATTTTTATATTAAATTAAAGTGCACTCTTTTGTCTACGCGTAGAATA